AATAAGGCGAAGCTGAAGACTGAACTGTCTGTCATTTATGAGAGTCCAGAATTCAAGGGCTGCTGTGGTGCACGAGCGCTGTACCAGGTTTTGCTGAAGTACAACCTCCAGGATACTTTTTCAGAGACTGTTGCTCTGTTGAACATCCTCATAACCACTCCCATGACAACTGCTGAAGCTGAGAGGTGTTTCTCAACCTTAAAGAGAATCAATACATTCCTGAGAAATGTAATGGGACAGGAACGTCTGAATGCAATGGCTATGCTTTCCATGGAGAGGGAACTAGTCAGGAACATGCCTGCTTTCAATGAGAGAGTAATTGATCACTTTGCTACTTTGAAAGAGAGAAGAGCAAAATTTCAGTATAAGTAAGCAGTGTATTAAGCGAGTAATGTGATATAAACAGTGTAATAATAGTGAGTATAGAAACAAACAAGAAGATGTATTATAAGAGTCACTTTATTTTTCATTAATATTAAAGTAGTGAAGTTGCCTTTACATGCTTAAGCTGTTAATTTATCCATTGCATGGGTGGACCTTATCCTTATCAATCATCCAAACATTTGCCCCCCCTGAGAGATTTTGCAGGAGCCGCCACTGCATCACACAAAGACAAAGATTCCCACGTGCAGCCTCTTAACAGACTGTCGGGGAAAGTGTTCACCGACTCATTCACCACTCGCACACACAGACACACACTCACTACTGACACACTCACAGGCACAAAGACAAAGATCCCCTGTATTGGACCAAGTGCTGTTCACGAGCACCTATGAAAGGCCCAGAACAACACACGAGGGGGTGGGTGGTCAGCACCACACCACTCACGAGAGGGTGAGTGGTGATGTTTACACTCCACACCCGGTACTCATTTGAGGCCGAGTGGCGCTAGGACCAGTAATCGCCACTGATGTTGGCCGTGAGTGGGAATCAAACTCAGGCCGCCGGATTCGTAGAGCAGCCCGCTAACCGCTACACTACCACTCGCCACACAGGCACACACATTCAGACACACAGACAAAGACACAGACACACACTCACCACAACCTTCTCATTCATCACTCACCTCACCACACACCAGAGGTCGCAAACGGGTTTTGATTCCTTACCCGTACCCGGCCGCACCAGGGTCGCAAATGGGTACCCGTACCCGTACCCGGCCGGGTACGGGTACCCGTTCCGTACCCGTACCCTACCCGAAATTAGTGACAAACGGTTACTCACCAGTGACTCACGGCCTACCCGTACCCGTACCTGGCCGCACCAGGGTCGCAAACGGGTACCCGTACCCGTACCCGGCCGGGTATGGGTAGCCAGGTATCGGGTAGGGTACGGGTATCAGGTACCCGGTTGCGACCTCTGCCACACACACAAACACCGCCCCCCCCCCAATCCCCGTATAGCCTGTAACAGACTGTAGGGGTAAGTGATGTTAGTAGCGAGTAGCAGCAGCAGCACCTATGAAGGCTACCAGCACGAGGGCATAGAGGGGGTGGGTTATCAGCACCACTCCCGGCCGCCTTTGTCTCCCCCAGTAGCGATGTTTACTACACAGCACGGCACCAGATACTCATTGAGGCCGAGCCGACCTAGGGGAAGCCCAGCACCAGTTCAGATAATCGCTATCGCTGCTGTTTGTGGCCATGAGTGGGAATCTAACTCGGGTTTACACCATTGGAACCTCCTTTTCCAGTAGCAAAATATGATAATTGTTTTTTTACCCTTTAATCTGGCAACAAAACTGACACCTTGTAAAAAAAGGTGTCAGTTTTGTTGCCAGATAAAAGGGTAAAACCCCAATTATCATATTTTGCTACTGGCAAAGGAAGTTCCAATGGTGTAAATGCTTCACCCCGAGCTCTCATACTCTGATGGTGCATTGTCTTTGAGTTGTGCGCCTTTTGGCGTCATCTGGTCCAACACCATGTGAAACTAGGCTCTAAGGAAAGCTGTCTCGAGTGTGGACCAATCAATTTCGAGGACAGTGCATATCATTATCAGAGTTGTGTTTTTTGTTTGCATTCCGACTGCAGGTATTGTGGTCTATGCAAACATGACTCCTTGTAAAAAAAGGTGTCAATTTTGTTGCCAGATAGAAGGGTAAAAAACCAAGTATCAACTAACTCGGGTTTTTTAACATCACCCCATAGACTTTCTATGGGAACCGGTTCCCAATCTCTTAACATTGCCCCATGAAGATGCATAGAGACACAGACATACACTGAGACCCATACATATGTAATGGGTTCGATAGAGGCGCACACACTCATGTGGAGGCAACACTATTTATTTAAGTCACGTAGGTAAAAAATAAAATTAAAATTAATAAAAGTAAAATAAAAATTACGACGTTTCGGAGGCAACACAAGCTTCCGTCTTCAGGTGGAGCCATCACAGCACGATTACTTGATACAGCAATCGTGCTGTGACGGTTCCTCCGAAACGTCGTGATTTTTATTTCACTTTTATTAATTTTAATTAAATTTTTTACCTACGTGACTTTACCGAAAAAACCTAAGAGTATGAATCCTTGCAGTCACAAAAGCTTCAAATCTAGAACTATTTATTTAACGAAGATGCATAGAGACACAGACATACACTGAGACCCATACATATGTAATGGGTTGGATAGAGGCGCACACACTCATTTGGAGGCAACACTTTATTTAACACAACTGAAACACAACTCTACATAAGGTGATGACCACCGTCCTAGTCTCACTAAGACTCGGGTACTACTTGGCGTGGCCAAGCCAGGAGGGCATCTGCTTGTCCACGACGACTTGGGGCTTAAATTTCGATTTAAAGCTTTCGTGACTGCAGGGATTCATCTTCTTGGTTCTTTCGGTAAAGTCGTCACGTAGAAGGGAAATAATAAACTAATAAAAATAAAACATAATAAAATACAATTCTCACGATGGTTCGGCCACAACGCAAGCAGCCGTCCTCAGGTGAAGAACAGGTCTGTCGGGAAGACAGCGTCTGAATGACCTGTTCTTCACCTGAGGACGGCTGCTTGCGTTGTGGCCGAAACGTCGTGAGAATTATTTTATTATGTTTTATTTTTATTATTTTATTATTTCCCTTTTACGTGACTTTACCGAAAGAACCAAGAAAATGGAAAGCTTGTTCTTGGTTCTTTCGGTAAAGTCACGTAGAATAATAAAATAATATTTTTTACCTACGTGACTTTACCGAAAAAACCTTAAAATATGCTAAGCCCCATAGCACCAACCCGTCCCTCCCTCTCTCCCCACTCTCCCTCTGATTCTCACCTCTCTCTTTTTTTTACGATCAGTGGAAACAAGAATATGCTCGGTGTATTCGGCACTTTGTTTCGTTCATCATTTCGTAATTTTCTTTTTTTTAAACGGGGTTTATGCAACCCTCGCTCGTTCTCTCTCTCGGTCTCTCTCTCGCTCACTCTCTCGCTCACTCGCTCACCCTCTCGCTCACCCTCTCGCTCGCTCGCTCGCTCACTCTCTCGCTCACTCTCTCGCTCTCTCTCGTTCTGCACGCAGCCCTTCTCGCAGTCCGACGGCCTCCGACGGGTAGCTCATATCAGCATGCAGAGCTCCCCGTCATCTGCCACCGAGCACACGGCCTCCTCCATCGCCCTCCCCTCTCTCCGACTTACCTATCTCACCTCTTCCGCTCTCTCTCTCTCTGGCACGCGCGGTGGTGTGCCGCACGTGACACGGGATGGGGCGCGCGGCGGTGTGACGCACGTGGCGGTGTATCACATGTACGGCGGTGTGGCACACGTGACGCGGAGGAATGTGCACGTGCCGTGGTGTGATGCACGTAGCGGTGTGTCACACGTGAGGCGGTGTGGCGCACGGGCCACGTTTGTTAGCGGTGATGAATGTTACTGATGGCGATGACCTCGAACCAAAAAGGAGACTGCGGAGCAACTGCCGCCGCAGCAATAAAATTGTTTACAAGTCAAAGTCTCTCTGAGACTCACTTCGCTCGCCTCTAACGGCCAACTTCCTCGCTCTCACCCCACTCTCTCTCTCCCTCTCTTCACTCGCTTGACGATCTCTACCTCTGCTCTCTCTCCCTCTCTCTCAGACCCTCACCTCTCTCCTGTCTTTTTTTTAAAACGATCAGACGAGAAAGACGCTCAGACTTTCGGCACTTTACTTCGTTCATCGTGTCGTTGGTTTGTATTTTTTTTATCTATTTTTTTTTACTTATGTGCTCCCCTTTTTTTATCAAAGATATAACGCGAGTTTCCCGTGTAACATTAGTCCCATTGTGTGTTACTGTGTTCATAGACACCAACAAGAAACACAAATCACCCCCTTAAACCTCTCCTCTCTCTCTCTCCCACTCACACACTCACCTCCCTCGATCTCTCTCTCTTTTTTACATTTTTACGATCAGAGGAAACAAGAAGATGCTCGGTGTAGTCGGCACTTTGCTTCGTTCATCATTTCGTTTTTTTAATGATTTGCTTTATGTACCCCCCTTCTCGCTCTACCCCCCCCCCCTCTCTACCCCCTCTCTGCCCCCCCCCCTCTCTCTCTACCCCCCACTCCCCTCTCTCTCTACTCCCCCCCCTCTCTCTCTCTACCCCCCACTCCCCTCTCTCACCCCCCCCCTCTCTCTCTACCCCCCCCCCCCTCTCTCTCTACCCCCCACCCCCCTCTCTCTACCCCCCCCCCCTCTCTGCCCCCCCTCTCTCTCTACCCCCCCTCTCTCTCTACCCCCCCTCTCTCTCTACCCCCCCTCTCTCTACCCCCTCTCTCTCTCTACCCCCCCCCTCTCTACCCCCCCCCCCCCCCTCTCTACCCCCCCCCCTCTCTACCCCCCCTCTCTCTCTACCCCCCCCCCCCTCTTTGCCCCCCCTCTCTCTCTACCCCCCCTCTCTCTCTACCCCCCCTCTCTCTCTACCCCCCTCTCTCTACCCCCTCTCTCTCTCTCTACCCCCCCCCTCTCTCTACCCCCCCCCCCCCCCTCTCTACCCCCTCTCGCTCTCTCTCTCAGACTCTCACCTCTCTCTTGACGATCTCCACTGTTTCTCTCCCCCCTGTCCAAGCGCTGCTTCAGGACCCAGGAAACCACCTCTGACGCCACGTCACGGATATCATCCCTCCCCTACCCTCCCCCTCGTGTCAGCGTTTATCGTAAATCCGCCTGCAGACCAATCCCTTGCTGGGAAGCGACGCAGAAGCAGCAACGGCTGACACGACTGTTGCTACAGCAGCTGATACTGGTCCTCTACCCTAGGCCGACTTGGCCTCAAATGAGACTAACCTTGATAATTGTTTTTTCACCCTTCTATCTGGCAACAAAACTGACACCTTTTTTACAAGGAGTCATGTTTGCATAGACCACAATACCTGCAGTCGTAATGCAAACAAAAAACATAACTCTGATAATGTATGCACTGTCCTTGAAGTTGATTGGTCCACACCCGAGACAGCTTTTCTTAGAGCCTAGTCTCACATGGGTTGGACCAGATGACGCCAAAAGGCGGACAACTCAAAGACAACGCACCATCAGAGTATGAGAGCTCGGGGTAAGCATTTACACCATTGGAACCTCCTTTGCCAGAAGAAAAAATATGATAATTGTTTTTTTACCCTTCTATCTGGCAACAAAACTGACACCTTTTTTTACAAGGAGTCATATTTGCATAGACCACAATGCCTGCAGCAAAAGTGGGGGTAACCCTGCTGAGGCTGCGGTGCCTCAAATATTGGAAGAGGTCACCCCCTGTGAGTGGCTGGCTGAGGTGCCATCTGTCGAGGAAGTACTGAAGGCGATCTGGAGTCTGAGACCAGGAAAGGCACCGGGCAGAGATGATCTCCCAAGCGAAATGCTGAGGGAGGGTGGCGTTTGTGCACAGACTGCCCTATATGACATCATAACAACAGTCTGGACCGCTGGACGGGTTCCGCAGAAATGGAAGGATGCCCTGGTGGTCCCTCTCTTTAAGAAGGGGGACCGCACAGACTGTAACAACTACAGGGGCATATTACTCATCAGTGTGCTGGGAAAGGTCCTGGCAAGGATTATTCAACATCGCCTTGCTAGGCACGCTGAGGAGGGGCTTGCGGAGCCCCAATGCGGTTTCAGGAAAGGGCGGTCCTGCACAGATGCCATATTTTCTGTCCGTCTGCTACAGCAGAGGTGTAGGGAATTCCAACAAGACCTACATCTCTGCTTTATTGACCTGGTCAAGACCTATGATACCATCAGTCGGCCTTGGCTCTGGGTTGTTCTTCGTGCTTTCGGAGTCCCTGACCCTCTGCTCACGATCATTAAGGACCTTTATGATGGTGAGCTGGCCCGGGTAAAACTACGTGGCCGGGAGTCAGAGCCTTTCCCTGTACACCTTGGGGTGCAGGCAGGGATGTCCTCTGGCTCCCACATTATTTAACATCTATTTTGACCGCGTAGTTCGTGAAGCCTTCAATAGCTGTACCGGGGAAATTTCTGTTTGGTACAGATATAATGGGAGGCTGATCGACGCCCGGGTGCGATCAAGGGATGGCTCCCTATTGGTCAACCACGTTATGTATGCCGATGATTTGGTAATAGCTGCTCATTCAGAGGAGGAGTTGAAGACGCTGCTGCTGAGACTGGAGCGTGCCACTAAGAGGTGGGGCCATATCATCAGCGCCACCAAAACAAAGCACCTGCCTGGGTATTTTGTACCATCGGACACTCCACCCCCACAACTCCCAATCGGTGATAGGGCAGTAGTGGAGAGAATGGAGAATTTCCCATACCTGGGCAGTGTGCTTATGACCGGCTCCAGTTTAACAGCAGAGGTCTCACTCCGAATCAGTCGAGTGGCAATATCTTCTCATCGGTTGCGTAACGCTGTGTGGAAGCTACCTGGTCTGTCGCTCCGCACGAAGCTTCAGGTCTTCTTGGGCACGGTCATTCCCTCCCTTCTCTACGCTTGCGAATCCCTCAAGCATACTCACACACACACACACAGGTAGATACACACAAGCTCACACACACTTACACACTCTCACACACACTAACACACTCACACACACGGACATTTGCTCACACACACACACAGGCGTCGTTGTTGTGGATACATTTTTATTATTAGAGAGTAACTGAGTAAAGTGTACACAGATTTCCTTACTCAGCCAAGCCACAAGACCACGATGGTAAAGAATCAAACCCCCAAACTACAGTGCAGCACTCACCACCAACACCGTCTAGACTGACCCGACTAGACCACTTCGACAGTCTTCACCGACTACACCAGGGGTGGGGAACGTCCGGCCCGCAAAATCATTTTGTCTGGCCCTGCCATCACATTAGGGGCGAGTTAATTAAATGTTTGACCAAATATAACCGGGCTAATTTTTAAGTTGATCATTTTGTATGGCCTTTGCGAATGATGTTATAAATATCCAAATAGCCCTTGGCACAAAAAAGGTTCCACACCCCTGGACTAGACCTCCTTCACCAACGAGACCGTCTAGACCAGGGGTCTCCAAATACTTAGTTCAGGTGCTTAGTTTTAGTGGGGCTGATGGTAAGGCCCTGTTAGGAACCGGGCCGCACAGCAGCAGGAGGTGAGAGCGATGAGTCTGCACCGTGGCCCACGCCCATTATTTTATTCACCACTTCCGTGCGCGCCTCTTTCCCGCACTGCGCACTCGTCTCAGTCACAGTGTTGGTAAGCCCACAAGCTCTAACCCCGAGCCAACATGACAAAAAAAAATGTCGCTGGAGAGCTTCTTTGAAAAGGGGGAAAGACCCAATGATGTGTAATGCGGGCGCGAGCGACCTCCCGGATGTGACGTCACGGAGAGGTGGAGTTATGTGACGTGGGAGCAAGGTTCGGGTCCTTAAGGGATGAAACCGGAAGGAGACGAGGGAGAGTGGGAGACTGAGCAAGGGTAAGGCCACGCTGGGCGAAGCCAGGGAAGAGTGGCACCGTCGGCCAGCGGTGACCAGCTAAGGGAGCAGCCAGCGGAGCTGCGGGAGGAGACAGCAGTGGGGCTGCTGGAGAGAGAGAGCGGTTGAGGAGCTGCAGCGAGTACAGCCGGGGAGGCTGTGTATGGGAGACAGCAGCAAGGTTGCTAGGAGCTACGGGAGTGACAGGGAAACAGCCGCGAGGCTGTCCGAGGCTACGGGAGCGACACGAGGGGGAACTGCAGCGAGTACAGCCAGTGGGGCTGCGTGAGGGTAACAGCAGCGAGGCTGCTAAGAGGCTACGAGAACGACGGAGACCAACAGCGGAGCTGTTAGCGGTGACGGGTGTAACAACAGCGTCGGCACCGTGTGGAAAGTCTCAAAGGAGGACAGCCGTGTGGGAGACAGCAAACGAACCGAATAAAGGACACCAAGCCAGACATCGTGGTCGAGTCTTTTATTACAGATGAACCAACCCCCCCCCCCCCCCCCCCCCCCGGTCTGTGAAAAAATTGTCTTCCACGAAACCTGTCCCTGAGACCATCTACACCATCTAGACCAGGGGTCCTCAAACTTTTTAAACAGGGGGCCAGTTCACTGTCCCTCAGACCGTTGGAGGGCCGGACTATAGTTAAAAAAAACTATGAACAAATTCCTATGCACACTGCATATATCTTATTTTGAAGTGAAAAAACAAAACGGGAACAAATACAATATTTAAAATGAAGAACAAGTAAAGTTAAATCAACCAGTATTTCAATGGGAACTATGGGCCTGGTTTTGGCTAATGAGATGGTCAATGTCCGGTTCCATATTTGTCACTGCTAGTCGTAACAAGTGATGCAAGTGTGCATCCGTTAGTCTAGATCTGGTTGGAGATTTCAAATGTTTCATTCTAGAAAAAGTCTGTTCACAGACATAAGTGCTGCCAAAGATGGTTGCCATTTTGAGTGCATGGTTCCTGAGATGAGGAAATGTCTCAGAGGGGAGAGATGCATAGAAATTATGAAGGCTGCTTGACTTGAATGCGTCTTTCAGAGAGTCACAATTCTGCAGTTCAGCCAGTTCCATTTGGTAAATTGTATCCACATTTTCAATGTCAAAAGAAAATGGGTTACGGAAAAGCTGTATGTCCTGTTCATGGAGATGAAGCTCTTTAAATCTAAATTAGAACTCCTTTTACAATTTTTCCAGTGAATCCACACATGTTTTGTTTGGGAATTGCAACCAATGGTTTTTCCGCTAACAGATTTTGAGTTGTGGGGAGATGGCAGAAGTTTTCCTCCTTCACTTGTTTGATGAGGAGGCCTAATTTTACTTCAAATGCTTTGACATGTGATTGCATATCACAGAGGAGCTTTCCCTTTCCTTGAAGTTGCACATTGAAACTGTTGAGTAGCTCTGTTACATCTGTCAGAAAGGCAAGGTGCCATTTCCATTCTGCATCATTGAGCTCTGGTACTTCTTTGTTTTTTGAAAGCAGAAAAGCTGTAATCTGTGGAAGTAAGTCATAGAAACGTTTCAAAACTCTCCCTAGACTCAGCCAACGGATTTCTGTGTGGTACAGAACATCTTCATAGTCAACATTTAGCTCAGACAGAAATTCCTGAAATTGTCTGTGGTTTAGTGCATGAGCTCTAATGAAGTTAACACAAGATACCACAATTTTCATAACAGAGTCCCACTTCAGTGATTTACTACACAGCGCTTGTTGGTGGATGAGGCAGTGTATGGCTATTGGATGAGAATGGTTATGTTTGTCCATCTCTTGGTTAATGCGAGCAATTACTCCTTTCTTAGACCCCACCATGCTAGGAGCACCATCAGTTGTCACACTGGCTAGTTTAGCCCAATTCAGCTCCAAACCATTCACAGTTTGGCAAACTTTTCATAGATATCCTCTCCTGTAGTTGTTCCTTTGATGCTTTGCAGTGCAGCAAGCTCTTCTGTGACTTCGAAATAGTCATTCGTCCCACGAATAAAAATTAGAAGTTGTGCAGAATCACGAACATCATTGCTTTCGTCGAGTGCCAAGGAAAAATCGGAAAGTTTTTTTGTGGAGTTTTGCAAATGCTGATGCAAATTGTCTCCCATTTCTTCAATCCTCCGTGTAATTGTAGGTCCTGAAAGACTCACTGTACTAAATAAATCGGCCTTCTCTGGACACATCTCTTTGGCAACAGAAAGAAGGCATTCTTTAACAAATTCTCCCTCCACGAATGGTCCGCCAGTGCACGCTATTAGCTTGGCAACTTGAAAACTTGCTCGCAGTGATGAAATATTTAGCTGCTTCTGCTTCACAAAAGTATTTTGCTGAGTTGTTAATGTATTTTTTAGTTTTAATATTTTATCTTTTCTCACTTCTCCGACCAAACAATCATATTTATCTTTATGTTGAGTTTCATAGTGTTGACGTAAATTGTATTCTTTGAACACAGACACTATATTCTGGCATATCAGACACACAGCTCTTTCCTTGTACTGCATGAAAAAGTAATCATAAGTCCACTATTCTTTGAATATCCTACACTCTGAGTCAATTTTTCTCTTTCTTGACATCATTGTTTCCTAGCGAGTCAAAATTGCTATTAGTAAAATACCAATATATATACAGCGCTACAAAAACAATATACCAGCAATAACTTTGCCCACACAGAGACATACAGACTGCACTGCCCATCAATGCAGTCTGATTGGGGGAACTCCGCTTTTACCCCAGGCTCACACTGGTGCGGGTGCCATTAGAAAGTTAATTACACCTGCAGTTTTGTTCACAGATCGCAGTACATCCCCAGCACACAGGAATATCACTGGGAGTGGATCCGAGGGGCAAGTGAGGAAGCTGAGGGAGGGAGAGCCAGTCAAGCACAGCCAGGGGAGGGCTGGCAGCCTTAGGCCTGGGGGCAAGTCCAGTCAATTGTCCCATTGAACCATTCACCAGCGCAGCCCAATGAGTGCCCACCGCCGCAACTCAATCAATGCTCACTAGCGCAGCCAAATCAGTACTCACCAGCGCAGCCAAATCAGTGCTCGCCACCGCAGCCCAATCAGTGCCCACCACCGCAGCCCAATGAGTGCTCACCAGCGCAGCCCAATTAGTGCTCACCAGCGCAGCCCAATTAGTGCTCACAAGCGCAGCCCAATTAGTGACCATGGGCCGGATAAATGTCCTCGGCGGGCCGCATGTGGCCCGCGGGCCATAGTTTGAGGACCCCTGATCTAGACCAACGAGACCACCTAGACCATCTAGACCAATGAGATGGTCTACACCATCTAGATTCTCTAGACCAATCTCGACAGTCTCGACCACGAAGACCGTCTAGACTAACTAGACCACGAAGAACGTCTAGACCACGAAGACCGTCTAGACCAAGTAGATCACGAAGACCGTCTAGACCAAGAAGACCGTCTAGACCAACTAGACCACGAAGACCGTCTAGACCAAGTAGACCGTCTAGACCAACTAGACCACAAAGACCGTCTAGACCAAGAAGACTGTCTAGACTAACTAGACCACGAAGACCGTGTAGACTAACTAGACCACGAAGACCGTCTAGACCAGGGGTCGGCAACCAAAATAACAAGAAGAGCCATTTCTTTCCAATTCGGTACAAAATTCAGTATTTCAAGAGCCGCAATGCATCTGAGTACATACTGTACATACGTACATATCGTCAAGAAGCAGCCCGTAAAGAGCCGCATGCGGCTCCGGAGCCGTAGGTTGCCGACCCCTGGTCTAGACCAAGTAGACCGTCTAGACTAACTAGACCACGAAGACCGTCTAGACCAAGAAGACCGTCTAGACTAACTAGACCACGAAGACCGTCTAGATCAAGTAGACCGTCTAGACAAACTAGACCACCGAGACCATCCAGACTGACTAGACCGTCTAGACCACACATATCCAAAGTCCGGCCCACGGGCCAATCACAGCCCGCGGTCAGATTTCATACGGCCCGCAGCTTCAGTCTTATAATGTGTTATTTATGGCTCGCTAGCTCTGTCAGAATAAATAAATCATAAAACTTTAAAGATGTAATTCCTCCTTTCCCCACACGGTGGCAGCACCATTCTAATGCTATCTGGCTCTGCATCCGTGCCGCGAACCCTTCTCGAATCATTTCTACGGTGACATAATATATCACAACGATGTGAGGTGGCTAAGTCGGGGGTCCGCACTGCAGCGATTTTTCTCTCTCAAAGAGGAAATTGGACATTTTTGGGTGAGAAGGGACAACCAATGGAAGAACTGTCCGATCCTGTATGGCTGGCAAATCTGGCTTTTTTGGTTGACATAACGAAGCATCTGAATGCGCTGAATGTTAATCTTCAAGGAAAAGATGCAGTGGTGAGCCAGCTATACACTCACATCAAGGCCTTTGGAACCAAACTGCAACTTTTCCAAAGACATTTGTCCCAAACAGAGCCCTGCACCACGCACTTCCCAGCTTTTAAAGAGGTCATTGACAGTTTCTCACAGGACAACATCGGTGCGCAAGTGAATAGTTATGCAACAGCTATCGCATCTCTTTCTGTGGAATTTAACAAACGCTTTAGGGACTTTGCAGTTATTGAAAAGGACATGTTGCTTTTCTCTTCTCCCTTCTCCGTGGACCCTGATGATGCTCCTCCACAGCTGCAGCTGGAGCTCATTAAGCTGCAGTGTGACGATGAGTGCCGCGGAAAACACCAGCAGTGTTCTCTTGTTGACTTTTACCGGCAGCTGGACAAAAGCCGGTTTCCAGAAATGCGGTCATTCGCTAAGAAAATGCTGAGCTTATTCAGCTCCACATATTTGTGTGAGCAAACATTCTCAGTCATGAACTTAAACAAGAACCAATTGAGGTCAAGGATGAGCGACTCCCACTTGCGTGACATTTTACGCATCTCAACCACTGCCCTCAAGCCAGACCTGGTCTCTTTACTGAAATCTAGATCTCAGTATCACCCTTCTCATTAGTGTCAGCAAGTTATCTGTTCCTTGATCAATCTAAAATTTAGTGTTTGCCACTATTAACAGTGAAAAGCCTAAAGCACACTAATACACTTGGACTTATGGCACTTGTTTTATTAAATTCTTGAATAAGATTTGGTTAAACTGTTGATGTTATGTACCTGTAGATGTGACACAAACTATTGCTTTCTGAAAGATCTTGTGAAAGACAAGGGCAAAATTCACTTGGTTTAAAGTTTAATGATAACAGACCACTTTGCATTACTTATAACTCCTGTTTAAAATGTTCATGAGGCAAAGATATTTAACTCATGGAAATTTAAGGTATTCTATACAGTTTTTTCAATGTTATCTGACTGAATGAAAGGCAGAATTGTGTATTTAGAGTTGTTCACGTCTGCCTGAGCGGCTTATATTTGGTTACATTGTCATTTGAAAAATAAAGGTAATTGTGACAATGATAATTGTTTTATAACGGTGTGTGTTTTCACGTAACTTTTGTGGTAAAAATGTCGGAAGGAACTATTGGCCCCCGGGCATCTTCACTTTATCAAATTTGGTCCCTCTTTGCAAAAAGTTTGGACACCCCTGGTCTAGACCGACTAAAGGAGGGAGAGGAAGGAGTTGAAATAAGAGTATTGGGAGGAAACAGAGGAAGCACAGGAATGAGAGGAAGCAGAGGAATAAGAGGCAGGAGGCAGAGGAGCTGCTACCTCAGCGTGGCCGACCGCGCCAACGGGAGGTGGTTCGTGAACCCCCTCGCACTGCTGCGGCCGGCCACGGTGAGCGCGCTCGCTGCCCTCTCAGCGCTGACTTCTCAGCGCTGCCCATCCTCATCGACGCTGCACACTTGCTGGCCTCCTCCCCCTCCTCCTCCCGTCTGCTTCTCCTCTTCCTGCTCCTCTCCTCCCGTCGGCTCCCTGTCGAAGGCGTTCACAGCCACCTTGGTGAAGAACGACCCACCTAGCCACAAGACGCCCTTTGCTGCCATACTCAGCCCACCCGCTCCTACGGTGGAGGGGTGGGGTGGGGCAGGGAGGAAGGGGAGGGGAGGAGAGGGGGACCGGGGGGGGGGGCAGTGGGGAAGAGGAGGGGGGGTAGAGGGGATGGGGGGAGAGGGGAGAGGAGGGGAGCGGTGGTTAACATCTCGCTACCCTGGCTACCTGGGGGGCCTTTGTCTCTGTGTACAATAGCCAGCACTTGCCCCTACAGCCGTGCTAGAGGCTACCTGGGGGTACCTTTGTCTCTGTGTATACGCTATTCGCTACTGCTAACAGCACTTGACCCTACAGCCCTGCTAGTGGCTACCTGAGGATACCTTTATCTTCGTATCTACTCGCGACTAATTACAGCACTAGCCCCCTTATGCCTTGCTAAAGGCTACCTGGGGGACCTTTGTCTGTGTCTCTGCGTGTGTTTATGTGTGTGTGTGTACCTGTGTGTGTGAGTGTCTGTACGGCAAAACAACCCTCTACCTCCTCGCAGTGCCGGACGGGCAACGCTGTCGTGCACAGTGCTGTGGGGGGGAGGTCCAATTCCGATTGGCCTCTCCCCTCATGCCGTCTGTGACCACCACAGCGGCTAAATGGGAGCTCTGGACGGGTGCGTGGGGCTGGTAGCCCCTCCACCTTCAATAATTGACCACTAAACCACGACTAAAATATCTAACTAATAAGCTTGTGCCGGAGGCCCCCGGGGGCCAGGCGTCTATGACGTTTCCTGGCCAAATCCCAATTGGCGGAGCCAGGAGATTGAATCGATATCCTCGGGGCTCATCCAGAAACAACGACAAGCCACTACGTGTGGCCACGTGGAATGTTCGAGTGCTCACTGCGGAGGAGAGGCTGCCACTCCTCTGTCGGGAGCTGGACTGGTACCACCTGGATCTCTGTGGCATTCAGGCGGTCTGGTGGACCGGCTCTGGCTCCTGTCACCATGAGGAGTGGACAGTCCTCTAATCGGGGCAGGAGACTGCCAAACAACAGGGTGTGGCTCTTCTTCTGAACAAAATAATGAAGGGGGTGTGGGAGCGTGGTGGTGAGGTGTGGGAAGCTGTAAGTCCCAGGCAACTTTGGGCTCGCCTTCCATCAACCGGAGGCGAGGAGTGGTGGTCGTGGTTACTTATGCCCCCACCGAAGACGAACATCCATGGTGGGATGCAGGCAAGGCCGATGAGTCAGATGCCTTCTATGACCTCCTGTCACAGGTGCTGACTAAGGTGGCCCCCTTGTTGGGTGACTTCAATGCCCGAGTTGGTTATGATGCTGGCACCTGGTCTGGAGTGATTGGAAGGCATGGGCCAAATCAGCTCAATAACAACGGCAGGAGGCTGCTAGATTTTTGTGCAGCCCATGGGCTCGTAATTACCAACACGCTGTTTCGGCATCGGCGCATCCACACAACATAATGGATGCATGCCGGGTCCAAGCAAGAACATCTGCTGGACTACATAGTGATGGATCAGCAGATGCGAGCCCATATCTTTGACACCAGGACCTACCGTGGAGCTGATCTGCCCTCTGACCATCGACTTGTGATCTGTAAGATGCGCCTGCCATTCTTTCACTCCAGTGGTGGGTGTACACCCAGGACCCCATTCCAACCTAAGGTGGCCTGGTCTCAGCTAGCTGATGAAAGTTGCCCCTACAGCCCTGCTAGAGGCCACCTGAGGGATCTTCATCTCTGCGTCTACTCTACTCACCACTACGCACAGCGCTGGCCAGAGGCCGTCCAGATCGAGGCCCTGCCTCCTTACCGACGGACTGCAGCGTGGCCACCAACCCTCCGGCCGCCACCGCTCCTCCGTTGGCTACCGCGGCCGAGGACATGATGGAAGAGGCGATGGAGCCGGCGACGATGCCTCCAGCGGAGAAGCCCATGCCTGCCACCACCACTGGGGCCAGAGCAACTGTGGCCGCTGGCTCACAACAAACAAACAACGGTGATGACGATGAGAAGGAGGAGGCTACTCGCTCACAACAACAATAATAAAGGACAATCGTGATGATGACAATGACGATCACAACAACAACAACAATCGTGATGACGGTGGTGGCAATAACAATGACGATAGCAACAAACAATGACGATTACAAACAAGGACAACAATAACAGTGATGAGGAGGCAACTATCTCACAACAGAGGTCGCAAACGGGTTTTGATTGCTTACCCGGCTACCCGTACTCGGCCGCACCAGGGTCGCAAACGGGTACCTGTACCCGGCCGGGTACGGGTAGCCGGGTATCGGGTAGGGTACGGGTACCCGGTTGCGACCTCTGTCTCACAACAATAACAACATCACCAACAACATCACCATCACACATTGTCACATCATCACACATCATCACACAGCGTCACACAGCGTCACCATCACACATCATCACCATCACACAGCGTCACACAGCGTCACCATCACACATCATCACCATCACACAGCGTCACACAGCGTCACCATCACACAGTGTCACACAACGTCACACAGCGTCACCATCACAGAGCATCACCATCACACAGCGTCACACAGCGTCACAGCAGCGTCACCACAGCATCACCACAGCGTCACCACCACACAGCATCACCATCACACATCGTCACCATCACACAGCGTCACATAGCGTCATCGCAGCGTCACCACCACACAGCATCACCATCACACAGCGTCACCATCACACAGCGTCACACAGCATCACCATCACACATCGTCACCATCACACAGCGTCACACAGCATCACCACAGCGTCACCACCAAACAAGCGATCACGTGGAGGTGTGGTGACGTCATCGCTTACCTCCTCCGGCTACAATGGCGCCAACCTTCAACCAGCTGGTCGACTTCTCCTCCTCCTCTGTGTGAGGGTTACACAGAGAGAGCGATCAGTTCTACGTACTCACACATACACACTACACTACTTTATACTACTACACTATATACTACTATATACTACTACACACTACTATACACTACTATATACTAGAACACACTACGACACTATACACTACTATATACTACACTTCTATAAACTACACTAATATGCAAAACACTACTATACACTACACTATACACGACTATACACGACTCACCTATACACTACACTACTACACACTACACTACAATACATTACGCTACTATACAATACACTACTATACACTACACTCTACACTACTATGTACTATACACTGGTCAACACATTTTTCTGGCATAAGGTATTTCAACGGTTTTAAGGTAATTTTGGGGTGCTGATTCTAAATCTGGCATCAGTTTTGTCAGGTTTTTGAGATATCAAATATTGCATTTTCAACGAAAACTGCAGAAGAAAAATATTTAATAAATGTGGATATCTACATAAAATGATATTACAAACACGCTATCCTAAAAATACTGCACCATGTTTTAACACTAAAGCAGTCACTGACTCGCAACAACTTGCAATCATAAGTGACAGAGTTAATTTTGGGTAAAATCAATGAAAATGGGGTATGCCGATAGCATAAAATGAGATGTGATAGAGCAAATCTGAGATCAGATTTGGAATCAGCACCCTGAAATTAGTCTAGAACAGCTGCAAAAGTCCAGGCCAAAATATTTTTTTTTGACCAGTGTTATAGTGTTATATACTACTACACATTACTATACACTACTACATAATACTACACTATACACTACTATATATTATACTACTAAATACTTCTACAATGTAACTGATGCCGCAGCCACAACTTAGTTTGTAGACACCAGGAAATTGAATGTCAGGAATCACACCCTTTACAAATGGGATCAAATCAAGAATTTTGTGCAGGAAAGCGACATAAGCGTCTGTCATCACTTCGTGAAGATGGTGATCATGCGCAAGAATTGCACGAAGATTGCAAGCTTCCCTGTATGTTTGACAGACAACGCCTTCCATTGCTTAGAGGTCTTGGAAAGATGAGTGCCTTTTGGCAACATGGAGAAGCATTGGGAGAAAGAAGCACTGCTGATTGTTGGGGTGAACTGTATAGACTCGTCCTAAGGCATCGGATTCACCGTCAGCAGCACGTCGCTTCCATTTATTTTTTAGAAGTCCATGTATAGTAAGAGGGAACTTAATGGTAGAGCAGGTTGGCAGCAAATGGGTCAAAGTTCAAAGTTTATGTATTAGGTATAGCCCTGT